CCTTTCCCTGATGGGACCAGGAACCTCTCAGTCTCTGAGCAGAACCCCACTCCATCTGCTCCCCTTCCTGGACATCCTGCACCGGGACCTGCCAGTCTGACTCCAGAACCCAAACTCCTTAGGCTCCCCTGCCTGCCCCTAACAGCACCGGGTCATGTCAGTCTGCGACCAGAGGCTCACCTGTCTGCCCCTGACTCGACCTGGAACCTGTCAGTCTGCGGCAGGAATCCCACGTCCTTAGCTCCCCTGCCTGCCCCGAACAGAACTGGGAACCTGTCAGTCTGTGGGCAGAACCCCACCTCCTTAGGCTCCCCTGCCTGCCCCTGACTGGACCAGGAACCTGTCAGTCTGCAGCCAAAGCCCCACCCAGCTTGGCTCCACTGAGTGCTCTTGACAGGACCGGGAACCTGTCAGTCTGTGGCCAGAACCCCACGTCCTTAGCTGCCCGCCCGCCTTTGATAGACCTGGAACCTGGAGTCTGCAGAAAGAACCCCACCACCCTGCCTCCCTGTCCTACTCCACACGGACATGGAACCTGAAAGTCTGCCACCAGAACCCCACATCCTTAGCTCCTTTGGCTGCCCCTGATGGGACCAGGAGCCTGTCAGTCTGCATGCAGACTTCATGTCCTTAGCTCCCCTTATTGCCCCTGACTGGACCAGGAACCTGTCAGTGTGCAGCCAAACCCCACATCCTTAGCTCCACTGCCTACCCCTGTTGGAAATGGAACCCGTGAGTCTGTGGCCAGAACCCCACCCACTTTGGCCCCCTGCCTGCCCTTGACGGGACTGGGAACCTGTCAGTTGCGGCCAGAACCCCATGTCCCTAGCTGCCCTTCCTGCCCCTGACTGGACCGGGAACCTGTCAGTGTGCAGCCAGAACCCCACATCCTTAGCTCCACTGCCTGCCTCTGTTGGACCCAGTACCTGTAAGTCTGCGGCTAGAAGCCCAGCTCCTGGGCTCATTTCCCGCCCCAGATGGACCCGGAATGTGTCAGTCTGCCACTAGAACCCTAACTTCTTTGCTCCCCTGACTTGCCCCTAACTGGAGCAGGAACCTGTCAGTCTGCAGCCAGAACCCCACCCTCTAGTCTCTGCTGAGTGCTCCTGACAGGACCGGGCACCAGTCAGTCTGCGGCCAAAACTCCACCCCCTTAGCTCCCTTGCCTGACCATACCGGGCCAGGAATCTGTCAGTCTGTGGCCAGAACCACACGTAGCTAACTCCCCTTCCTGGCGTCACTGGACCGAAACGTGTCACTCTGAGGCCAGAACCACCCTCCTTGGCTCCCCTGACTGCCACTGATGGGACCGGGAACCCGTCAGTCTGCAGCCAGAACCCCAACCTTGAGGCTCCAGTGAGTCCCCCTGATGGGACTGGGATCCTTTCAGTCTGCGGACAGAACTCCACCCCTTAGCTCCCAGGCCTGCCCCTGACTAGACCAGGAACCTGTCAGTCTGTGGCCAGAACCCCACCTCCTTGGCTCCCTGACTGCCTCTTTCTGGCCTGAGAACCTGACAGTCGAGGACTACAACCCCACCTCTTGGATCCCCTGCCGGCCCTTGATGGAACTGGGAACCTGTCAGTCTGGGGCCAGAACCCCACCTCCTTGTCTCCCCTGCCTGCCGCTGATGGGACTGGTAGCTTGCCAGTCTAGGGCCAGAAACGCCGTCTTTGGCTCCCCTGCCTGCCCCTGACAGGACCGGTAACCTGTCATTCTGTGGCCAGAACCCCACCTCCTTGGCTCCTCTGACTGTCCCTGACTGGACCGGGAACCTGTCAGTCTGTGGCCAGAACTCCACCCCTTAGCTCCCCTGCCTGCCCCTGACTGGACCTGGAATCTGTCAGTCAGTCTGCGGAAGGAACCCCATGTCCTTAGCTCCCTGCCTACTCCTGATGGGACCAGAGACCTGTCGTCATTCTGTGGCCAGAACCCCACCTCCGTAGGCTACGCTGCCCGCCCCTGACTGGACCAGGAACTTGTGAGTCTGTAGCCAGAACCCCACCCCATCAGCACCCCTACCTACCCTTGATGGACCCGCAACTGTCACCTGTGGCCAGAACCCCGCCTCCTTAGGCTCCCCTGCCTACCTGTGACGGGACTCGGAACCTGTCAGTCTCGACCAGAGCCTAACCTGCGTGGCTCCCCTGACTTTCCCTGAGGGGGCCAGGAACCTGTCACTCTGTAGCCAGAACCCCACCTCATTGGGCTCCCCTGACAGCAACGGGAACCTGTCAGCCTGTGGCCAGATCCCCATGTCCTCAGCTCCCCTGCCTGCCCCTGATAGACCTGAACCTGTCAGTCTGTGGCCAGAACTAACCTCCTTGGCTCCCTTAACTGCCCGCGATGGGACCAGGAACCTGTCATGCTGCTGCCAGAACCTTAGCCAGAACGCCTTAGCTTCCCTGCCTGGCCATATGGACCGGGAACCTGTCCATGTGCGGCCAGAACCCCACGTGCTTAGCTCCCCGGCTTGTCCCTGACTAGACAGGGAACTTGTATGTCTGTGGCAGGAACACCATCCTCTTACACTACCCTGCCTGCCCCTGACTGGAACCAGAGCCTGTCATTCTGCGGCCAGAACCCCACCTCCTTGGCTCCCCTGACTGCCTCTTTCTGGCCTGAGAACCGGACAGTCTCGGACTACAACCCCACCTCTTGGATCCCCTGCCGGCCCTTGATGGAACTGGGAACCTGTCAGTCTGGGGCCAGAACCCCACCTCCTTGTCTCCCCTGCCTGCCGCTGATGGGACTGGTAGCTTGCCAGTCTAGGGCCAGAAACGCCGTCTTTGGCTCCCCTGCCTGCCCCTGACAGGACCGGGAACCTGTCAGTCTGCGGCAGGAACCCCAAGTCCTTAGCTCTCCTGCCTGCCCCTGACTGACCCAGAACCTGTCACTCTGCGACAGTTCCTGATCCAGTCAGGGGCACTCAGTGGATCCTAAGGGAGTGGTTTCTCCGCCATATCTGAATGTGAAAGTCCAGCTGGGTGCAGAAACTAGGGAAGAACAGACAGTGCACACATCTGGTCAGATGGCAAGTGTGTGACATTCAAGGTGCTTTACAAAGTGGCCCACAACAGGTGATCTCTCCCTACGTCTTCATGTAGCGTGCCTTCAGACACTAACCCCTGGCTCACAACTTGAAGTCTATAAAGGACGGAGACCCTCAGCTTTCACTGAGTGGCTCAGAGGACACTGCATGGCTTGTGCTCAATCACTTGTGTCCCTGTTCAAAGCATAGTTTATGAAAATAATCATACAAGCCTGCGCCGCGGCTCACCAGGCTAATCCTCCACCTGCGGTGCCGGCACGCCGGGTTCTAGTCCCGGTCGGGACGCCGGATTCTGTCCCGGTTGCCCCTCTTCCAGGCCAGCTCTCTGCTGTGACCAGAGAATGTAGTGGAGGATGGCCCAAGTGCCTGGGCCCTGCACCACATGGGAGACCAGGAAAAGCACCTGGCTCCTGCCATCGGATCAGCGCGGTGCGCCGGCCGCGGCGGCCATTGGAGGGTGAACCAACGGCAAAGGAAGACCTTTCTCTCTGTCTCTCTGTCTCTCACTGTCCACTCTGCCTGTGAAAAAAAAAAAAAAAGAGCCTATCAGCAAAAACCAAGACTCGTTCAAGGTGGTGAAGACCGCGCGTACGTTTCGGGAGTCTTATTTCAAGTTTTAATTCTTCTGCCAACACACTCATGGTAATTCCAGGCTAGTTGCTCTCGTTTCTGAATCGACGTGTCACCCACTGCGCCTCCCTCGTCTGGGCACTTCATCACTCACTCACTGAAGTTGCTGTTCAGAGTGTCTGCTGTGTCCTGTTCTCTCCTGCTCTAAAGTCACTGAGGAGACAGTACTGACGACGAAGCTGCAAACCCTTTCAAGAAGCAAACGTGTCTATACACGACCATGTTTTCAAGGCATTTCCGATGGATCTGACTGCCTGTCAAAAAAAAAATTAAAAAAAAAAACTGAGATATTGGGGGTCTTGGTATTAGAAGATGAGCAAACTTTGTAGTTATGAATCTGCCTTGTCCAGCGTGCTCTACACGCCATGTTGATGACCCTCCTCTCCCTGAGAGAAGAGCCAGCCTGAGCCGTGGAGTGAGTGGAGCAGAAAACCAGATTAAAGGATTACAGAACGCAGAACGGGTCAAGTCGGTTTTTCCTATCGAGAGACAGAAACTAGAGTGACCTCCCTGGAGCTCTCAAGGTCACATCTGGGTGCCTGGGCACGAAAAAAGGTAAAAAAAAAATACATATATATATATCTCCAGGTTCTGGAACATTCTAGGACGTTCTAGAATGTTCCGGGATCCCTAGAATTTTTCCGAGGTGTTCTAGAATGTACCAGAACATCACCAAGTGAGTCTGGGGGGATTCTGGGATACGGGTCTGAGTAGAAGATTCCCGGCTGGGTGTGACGATTGTCCTGGTGCTGGCCTGGCCCTGCGGACATTGACGTGACATCCGGCGCCCACCGGGGCTGCGGAAACTTCCAGCACGTCGGCAGAGGGTCTCAGACCCCCCAGGACGCTCGCTGGGTTCTCTGGAACATACTGGAACATTCTACAACATTCCAAGACCCCAAAGACACTCACCAAGCGGTCCAGGGCATCCTACGAACATTCTAGAAAATTCCACGTCATCCACCAGTATTCCGGAACACTCCAAGACCAGGCGCTCTAGAATATTCTAAGGCCCCGAGGACGTGCGCCGGGCTCTCTAGAACATTCTGGAACATTCCACAGAATTCCTCGCGATTCCAAGGACATTCCCTGGGCATTCTAGAACATTCTGGAATCCTGGAAACACCCACCAGGGGTTCTGGAAAATTCCAAGGCCCAAGAACGCACGACAGACTCTCCCAGAATTCCCTGGGAGCACTGACCGTTCCGGAACGTCCCTGGTGTCCACCAGGATGTTTGCACAACCTTCGGCCCGCCAACTCCTCCCCCAGCCCTGGCAATAAATAGACGCCGGGTCCCCGCCGGCTCAGACGACGACGAAGACGATGGTAATGAAGATGACGGTGACGAAGGCTCTCCTCCTCGCCCTCACGGTGGGCGTGGCCTGTGCGGACATCGACCCCGCCCAGGTATCATTAATTTGCATCATTAGTTCCCAGTATTAATTCTCGTCATGAATTCATATCATTTCTTCACATCATTACTTCGCATCACTAATTCGCATCACTACTTTGCGTTGTTTCTTCAGCCGTATCATTAATGCGCGTCATTTCTTCACCTCCCCAGCTCTCCGGGCCCTGGCGCACCTCCGCCATGGCCTCCGACATCCTGGAAATGATCCTGGAGGATGGGCCACTCCGGATGCTGTTCCGCGAGATGGAGTGCAACGAGGACTGCAACGCCCTGAACGTCTTCTTCTATGTCAAGTGAGGGGCGGGGCCAGGGGAGACAAGCCGAGGCCAGAGACAGAGAGCCAGGGGGGAGCAATCGAGCCCAGAGAGCGGGGAAGACAGGCGCCGCCAAGCCCAAGCGATCCCAGAGAGAGAGACAGAGCAGGCCAGGGCGACCAGCCGAGCCCAGAGAGAGAGATAGCAGACAGGAGTAGTTGAGCCCAGAGTCAGAGAGCATGTGGGCTAGAGGGGAGTAATGGAGCTGAGAAGTGAGCAGACAGGAGTAGTTGAGCCCAGAGTACAAAGAGCAAGCTAGGGGGGACCAGCCGAGCCCAGGGAGAGTGAGCAGACAGGAGTAGTTGAGCCCAGAGTCAGAGAGCATGTGGGCTAGAGGGGAGTAATGGAGCTGAGAGTGAGCAGACAGGACCAGCCGATCCCAGAGTCAAAGAGCAGGCCATGGTGGACCAGCCGAGCCCAGAGAAAGAGTAGACAGGAGCAGTTGAGCCCAGAGTCAGAGAACAGGTGGGCTAGAGGGGAGTAATGGAGCTGAGAGAGAGCAGACAGGACCAGCCGATCCCAGAGTCAAAGAGCAGGCCATGGTGGACCAGGCGAGCCAGAGGGAGAGCAGACAGGAGCAGTTGAGCCCACAGCGAGTGGCCATGTTCCCGGTCTCTCCTTCAGGAAGAACGAGGTATGCACCCCGCACACGGTTGTGGCCCAGAAGAACGCAGACGGCATCTACACCACTGACTGTGAGTACAGAGCATTTCGGAAAGTTCCAGACAATTCCAGACGACCCCAGGGAATGTCCGGTGTGTTCCAGAATGTTCGAGAATGTTCCCAGAAATGTTCCAGGATGCTGCAAATGTCCCAGGATGCTCCAGTTCCTCAATGTTCTAGAATGTTCCAGAATGCGCTAGAATGTCCCAGCATGCCCCGGCACATCCAGAACACCCACCTCTCTCCCTACAGTCGAGGGCCAGACCTCCTTCCAGTTCCACGTATTGGATCCCGCTAGGCTCTTCGTCTTCATCAATAACATGGGGTCCAGCGGCACCACCAGCCGCCTCAGCTTCCTTGTGGGTGAGCCCCCCTCACACACACATGTACACTGCCGGTGCCCGCTAGGGATACGCACCACGACCCGAGAGTCTGAGCCCGACTGTATACAGGGAAAGGGGGGATACAGTCGGTGCCCACTGGATAAAGCGAGTGTATACAGTCAGTGCCCACTAGACATGGTGGGCATATACAGTCGGTGCCCACTAACGCTAGCATATACAGTTGGCGCTCGCTAGATGGGGTGAGCGTATACAGCCACTAAAGTGAGTGTATGCAGTAGGCTCACACTAAAGCAAGCGTACTCAGTCGGCACCCACTCTTGCCACAGTCAAATTGAGAGTCATAAATGACGACCGGCTGGAGGACTACGCGAGGCTCACGGAGCAGAATGGGATCCCGCAGAAGTACATCCGGCGTGTGGGCGACACAGGTGAGGCTGCGGCAGCTTCCGGGCTGACTTGGCGCTGACTCGGCGCTGACTCGGCTTTCCTCTCTCTCCAACAGACACCTGTCCACCCTGAGGACGCCTCCCTTGGAGAAGGTGCCAGAACGTTCTAGACCATTCCAGAACCGCCCCTCCTGCACAATGATTCCTCCCCTGATCGCCTCACCATCTCCTCCCACCTGCGAACGCGCTAGTATGCTCCGGAACATTCTAGAGCATTCTGGATTGATCCAAGATGGTCTGGATTGTTCCAGAATTTCTAGAAAGCTTCGGAACATTCTAGAATCGGCCGTCCCCAGCTTTCTCTGCTTCCTGTTCATGGAATAAACTCATCCCAGGCACAGTCCCAGTCGTTTATTTTAAACGATTTTTATTGTTCCGTCAAAAGACAGAGCGAGCTGGTGGAGGAACCCAGGGGCTACCTCCGGGTCTCCCTGCACTGTCAGTCACCGTTCACTGACAAGGGGGTGGGCTCTGTCATCTGGTGGCTGTCAATCAGCCCTGAGTGACACTGGGGGGGTTCTCCCCGACTCCACTGGCAGCCAGTCACACTCCACCAGGATCCCAGGGCCACATCCGGGTCCCCATGGCCACATCCGGGTCTCCAGGGCAATATCCGGCTCCCCAGGGCTCCACTCATGTCCGCAGTGACACATCCAGGTCCCCAGGGGCACATCCTGGTCCCCAGGGCCACATCCGGGTCTAAGTGCTCCATCCGGGTCTCTGGGCTCCATCTGGGTCCCTAAGGGCTCCATCCGGGTCTCTGGGCTCCATCCGGGACTCCTGGCTCCATCCGAGTCTCTGGGCTCCATACAGGTCTCTGGGCTCCATCGGGGTCTCTGGTCTCCATCTGTATCTCTGGGCTCCATCTGGGTCCCTAAGGAAACATCCTGGTCCCTAAGGCTCCATCCGGGTCTCTGTGCTCCTTCAGGGTCACTAAGGCTACATCCGGGTCCTTAAGGTTTCTTCCGAGTCCTTAAGGCTCCATCCAGGTCTCTGGGCTCCATCCAGGTCTCTGGACCACATCCGGGTCTCTGGGCTCCATCCGGGTTTCGGGGCTCCAACAGTGTCCCTAAGGCTGCATCCAGTCTCTGGGCTCCATCCGAGTCTCTGGGCTCCACCCCGATCTCCAGGGCCACATCCAGGTCCCCAGGGCCATATCCGGGTCTCCAGGGCCACATCCGGTTCCCCAGGGCTCCATCCGGGTCTCCAGGGCCACACCAGGGTCTCCAGGGCCACACCAGGGTCTCCAGGGCCACATCCGGATCTCCAGGGCTCCCTCCAGGGCCATATCTGGGTCCCAGGGCTCCACCCAGGGTCTCTGGGCTCTCTCCAGGTCTCTGAGCTACATCCGGGTCCCTAAGGCTCCATCCTGGTCTCTGGGCTCCATCCTGGTCTCGGGGCTCTGCCCAAGTCTCTGGGCTCCATTCGGGTCCCTAAGGCTCCATCCGCATCCCTAAGGCTCCATGCGGGTCTTTGGGCTCCATCCAGGTCCCTAAGGATCCAACCGGGACTCCTGGCTCCATCTGAGTCTCTGGGCTCCATACGGGTCTCTGGGCTCCATCCTGGTCTCGGGGCTCTGCCCGAGTCTCTGGGCTCCATCTGGGTCCCTAAGGCTCCATCCGCATCCCTAAGGCTCCATGCGGGTCTCTGGGCTCCATCCAGGTCCTTAAGGCTCCATCTGAGTCTCTGGGCTCCATTAGAGTCTCTGGGCTCCATCCGGGTCTTTGGGCTCCATCCAGGTCCCTAAGGATCGATCCGGGACTCCTGGCTCCATCCGAGTCTCTGGGCTCCATACAGGTCTCTGGGCTCCATCCAGGTCTCTGGGCTCCATCCATATCTCTGGGCTCCATCTGGGTCCCTAAGGATCCATCCGGGACTCCTGGCTCCATCCGAGTCTCTGGGCTCCATCCAATTCCCTAAGACTCCATCCAAGTCCCTAAGGATCCATCCGGGTCTCTGGGCTCCATCCAGGTCTCTGGGCTCCATCCAAGTCTCTGGGCTCCATCCGGGTTCCTAAGGCTCCATCCGGGTCCCTAAGGCTCCATCCAGTTCCCTAAGGCTCTTCCGAGACTCTGGGCTCCATCTGGGTCCCTAAGGCTCCATCCGGGTCCATAAGGCTCCATCCGGGTCTTTGGGCTCAATGCGAGTCTCTGGGCTCCATCCGGGTCTCTGGGCTCCATCCATATCTCTGAGCTCCATCTGGGTCCCTAGGGCTCCATCCTGGTCTCTGGGCTCCATCCGGGTCTCTGGGCTCCATCCGGGTCCCTAAGGCTCCATCCGGATCTCTGGGCTCCATCTGGGTCTCTGGGCTCCACCTGGGTCTCTGGGCTCCATCTGGGTTCCTATGGCTCCATCCAGATCTCTGGGCTCCATCCGGGTCCCTAAGACTCCATCGGGGTCCCTAAGGCTCCATCCGGGTCTCTGGGCTCCATCCGAGTCCTTAAGGCTCTATCCGGTCTCTTGGCTCAATCCGAGTCTCTGGGCTCCATCCGGGTCTCTGAGCTCCATCCGGGTCTGCAGGGCCACATCGGGTCTCCCAGGGCTCCACATACGGGACCCAGGGCCACATCCGGTTCCCCAAGGGACATATCGGGGTCCCCAGGGCCACATCCAGGTGTCTCGGGCCATTACCGGTTCTCCAGGGCCACATCCGGGTCTAGGGCCACATCCAGGTCTCCAGGGCTCCATCCAGGTCTCCAGGAACATCTGGGTCTCCAGGGCCACATCAGCATGATCAGGGCCACATCCGGGTCTCTAGGGCTCTCTCCAGGGCCACATCCAGGTCTCCATCACTACATCCGGCTCTCTATGGCGCCATCCAGGTCTCCGGGGTCACATCCGGATCTCCAGGGCCACATACGGGCTCCCAGGGCCACATCCGGGTCCTTAGAGTCACATGGGGGTCTCCAGGGCCACACCCGGGTCTCTAGGGCCACATCTGGGTCTCCCAGGGCTCCATCCGGGTCCCCCAGGTCCACATCCGGGTTGCCAAGGCCACATCGGGGTCTCCCAGGGCTCCATCCAGGTCCACATCAGGTCCCCAGGGCCACATCCAGTTCTCCCAGGGCCACATTCGGGTCCTCACGTCCACACCCGGGTCCCAGGGCCACATCCAGGTCCCTAGGGCCATATCCGGGTCTCCAGGGCTCCATCCAGGTCTCTAAGGCTTTATCCAAGTCTCTGGGTTCCATCAGAGTCTCTGGGCTCCATCCGTATCTCTGAGCTCCATCCAGGTTCCTAAGACTCCATCCGGGTCTCTGGGATCCATCCGAGCCCCTAATGCTCTATCTCACTCTCTGGGCTCCATCCAAGTCTCTGGGCTCCATCCGGATTCCTAAGGCTCCATCAGGTCTCTGAGCTCCATCTGGGTCCCTAAGGCTCCATCCGGATATCTGGGCTCTATCAGGTCTCTGGGCTCCATCCGGGTTCCTAAGGCTCCATCCAAGTCTCTGGGCTCCATCCAGGTCCCTAAGACTCCATCAAGGTCCCTAAGGCTCCATCCGGGTCTCTGGGCTCCATCCGGGTCTCTGGGCTCCATCCGGGTCCCTAATGCTCCATCGGGGTCCCTAAGGCTCCATCCGGGTCTCTGGGTTCCATCCGAGTCCCTAAGATTCCATCCGGGTCCCTAAGGCTACATCCGGGTCTCTAGGGCCATATCCGAGTCTCCAGGGCCACATCCATTATCTCCAGGGCTCCCTCCAGGGCCACATCTGGGTTCCAGGGCTCCACCCTGGTCTCCAGGGCCACATTCGGTTCCTCAGGGCCACATAGGGGTCTCCAGGGCCACATCCGGGTCTCCAGGGCTCCCTCCAGGGCCACATTCGGGTTTCAAGGGCTCTATCCGGGTCTCTAGGGCTCCACCCCTGTCTCCAGGGCAACATTCGTGTCTCCACACCATATCCGGATCCTCAGGGCCACATTCAGGTGTCCAGGGCTACATTCAGGTCTCTAGGGCTACATCAGGATCTCTAGGGTCACATCTGGGTCTCCAGGCCCACATTGGGGTCTCCAGGGCTCCATCCGGGTCCAGGGCCACATCCAGGTCTCCAGGGCCACATCCGGGTCTCCAGGGCTCCCTCCAAGGCTACATCTGGGTCCCAGGGCTCCACCCGGGTCCCAAGGGCCACATCTGGGTCCCCAGGGCCACCAACAGGTCTCCGGGCTACATCGGGTTCTCTGGGCTCCATCCGGGTCACTGGGCTCCATCCGGGTCTCTGGGCAACATCTGGGTGTCTGGGCTCTCTCCGAGTCTCTGGGCTCTCTCCAGGTCTCTGAGCTACATCCGTGTCCATAAGGCTCCATCCGAGTCTGGGCTCCAACCGAGTCTCTGGGCACCAGCAAGGTCCCTAGGATCCATCCGGGTTCCTAAGGCTCCATCCGGGTCCTTAAGGTTCCATTCAGGTCCCTAAGGCTCCATCCGAGTCTCTGGGCTCCATTAGGGTCTGTGGGATCCATCCGGGACCCTAAGACTCCATCCGGGTTTCTGGGCTCCATCCAGGTCCCTAAGGCTCCATCCAGGTCCCTAAGGCTCCATACGCGTCCCTAAGGCTCCATCCGGGTCTCTGGGCTCAATCCGGGTCGCTAAGGATCCATTCCGGTCTCTGTGCTCCACCCGGGTCTCCAGGGCAACATCCGGATCACTGCGCTCCATCTGGGTCTCTGGGCTCCATTAGAGTCTCTGGGCTCCATCCAGGTCTCTGGCCCCATCCGAGTCTCTGGGCTCTATCCGGGTCTCTGGGCCACATCAGGCTCTCTGAGCTCCATCCGGGTCACTGGGCTCCATCCGGGTCTCTGGGCCACATCGGGGTCATTGGCTCCATCCGGGTCTCTGGGCCACATCGGGCTCTCTGAGCTCCATTCGAGTCTCTGGGCTCTCTCCAGGTCTCTGAGCTACATCCGGGTCCCTAAGGCTCCATCCTCTTCTCTGGGCTCCATCCTAGTCTCAGGGCTCCATCCGAGTCTCTGGGCTCCATCCGAGTCTCTGGGCTCCATCCGGGTCCCTAAGGCTCCATTCCGGTCTCTGGGCTCCATCCGAGTCTCTGGGCTCCACCAGGGTCTCCGGGCCACATCCGAGTCCCCATTGCCACATCCGGGTCCACAGGGCCACCTCCAGGTCTCTGGATTCCATCGGGTTCTCTGGGCTTCATCCGAGTCTCTGTGCTGCATCCGGGTCTCTTGGCTCATTCCGGGTACCTAAGGCTCCATCCGAGTCTCTGAACTCCATCCGGGTCCCTAAGACTCCATCCGAGTTCCTAAGGCTCTATCTGGGTTCCTAAGGCTCCATCCGAGTCTATGGATTCCCTCCGGCTTACACAGAGCCGGGCGGGGATACTACACCTTCCCGAAGCCTCAGCGGCGGCGGCGACGCTCTACGTGTGGGCTGTACTGGCCTGAGTGACAGGTAGCCGACCCAATGGCTTCCCCGGTCTCAGACTCCGGACCGCTCAGACCTGGGGTGGGTGTGTGCTTCCTGTTTCGGAGGCGTCTGCTCGGGGCGGAAATGGTGTGGAAAGGAACCGTGTTTCAACCCAGCTGTCTTCTTTCTCTTCTTTGAAAAAAAGCTCTGAGGCCTAATTTTCCTGACCTAAATGATCATTTTTCGTCTGTCACCTGTGGGCCATATTTCCTGGTTTCACATTGCCCAGCCACCCTCTGCTTGGACAGGGTGGACCGGGGAGACTACAACTCCCCAAAGCCTCAGCGGCAGGGCGCTCTGCGGCTGGGCTCGTCTGAGTGACAGGTCGGGCAGCCATTGGCTTCACGCGGTCTCAGACTCCGTTGCCAATCAGATGCTGAGTGGTTGTGTCGCCCTGTTTCTGCGGCTCGGGGCGGAAATGGTGTGGAAAGGAACCGCCTCGAGCCACGCCCCTCGCGGCTCCTGACTGGACGCGGGAAGTGACGTCTGCGCGCACCACGCGGCAGTCCAGCTCGGACCCGACCGGGCAGCTTCGGGTCTGGGTCCCGCACGTCCCTGGCAGCCCCTGAGCGGGCGCGTACCCGCCTGTCCGTCCGCCAGAACCTCGCCCTGTAGCTTGGCCCTGCCTGCCCTTGT